TCTTCTAACTTGCCAGTGTACATCATCATCAAATTGGTGTCGTGTATCTGTGGTGACCTAAGTGGGAAGCAAATCCATAAAAGAGGGGATATATGTATATGTGTAGGTGACCCACTGATGGATAGCAGAAACTGGTACAAGATTGTTATTGTTGTTTAGTTGCTGAGTCGTATGTGACTCTTCTGTGACCCCATGGACTGTAACCCACCAGGTTCCTGTGTCCATGGGATTTCCAGGGCAAGAACACTGGAGTGGGTTGCCATTTCCTTCTCCAACACAACACTGTAAAACAGCTATAATCCAATAAAATAAGGAATTGCATTGAGTGGACCTTGAAAATCTTTCTTTAATTTGTTTTCTATTTCTTCTACTCTCTCTCAAAGCCACCATCTGTTTTTTAAAATGTAGGTTTTATTATTATTCAGTTATGATGAGACTAGCATATCCAGAGAGAGATTGTTGTACACACAGATCCGAGAAGGATAGGGGTGAGAGAGGGAGGACCCATGGGGGGAAACACCAGGGTCAATTAGGAGGCAGATGGTGAGAGAGGGAAATGTGGGCAAGAGCCTTTACTGTGGTTTCTGTGGGAAGGAATGGGTCAACTGAGTAAACGGTTTTTATTATTATTCAGTTGCTAAGTCGTGTCTGACTCTTTGTGACCCCATGGACTGCAGCACACCAGACTTTCCTGTCTTTCATCATCTCCGAGAGTTTGCTCAGGCTCATGTCCTTTGAGTTGGTGATGGCCTTCCAACCATCTCATCCTCTGTCGTCTCCTTCTTCTCCTGCCCTCAGTCTTTCCCAGCATCAGGGTGTTTTCCAGTGAGTCAGCTCTTCACATTGGGTGGCTAAAGTTTTGGAGCTTCAGCTTCAGCATCAGTGTTTCCAAGGAATATTCAGGGTTGGTTTCCTTTAGGATGGACTGGTTTGATCTCCTTGCTGTCCAAGGGACTCTCAAGAGTCTTCTCCAGCTCCACAGTTCAAAAGCATCTATTCTTCGGCGCTCTTTCTTCTTTATGGTCCAACTATCATATCCATACATGACTACTGGAAAAACCATAGCTTTGACTATATGGATCTTTGTTAGCAAAGTGGCGTCTCTGCTTTTTAATATGCATCTAGGTTTGTCATAGCTTTTCTTGCAAAGATCAAGTTTCACGGCTGCAGTCACTGTCTGTAGTGATTTTGGAGCCCAAGGAAATAGAGTCTGTCTCTGTTTCCAGTTTTTCTCCATCTATTTGTCGTGAAGTGATGGGACCAGATGCCATGATCTTAGTTTTTTGAGTGTTGAGTTTTAAGCCAGCTTTTTCACTCTCTTCTTTGACCTTCATCAACAGGCTCTTTAGTTCCTCTTCTCTTTCTGCCGTTAGAGTCATATCATCTGCATGACTGAGGTTGTTGATATTTCTCCTGGCAATCTTGATTCCAGGTTGTGACTCATACAGCCTGGCATTTCCCGTAATGTACTCTGCATATAAGTTAAATAAGCAGGGTGACAATATACAATTTTGACGTACTCCTTTCCCAGTTTTGAGCTAGTCTGTTGTTCCATGTCTGGTTCTAACTGTTGCTTCTTGTCCTGCGCACAGGTTTCTCAGGAGGTGGGTAAGGTGATCTGGTTGTGATCCACACAATCAAAGGCTTTAATATAGTCAGTGAAGCAGAAATAGATGCTTTTCTGGAATCCCCTTGCTTTTTCTAAGATCCATAGGATGTTGGCAATTTGCTCTCTGGTTCCTCTGCGTTTTGTAAATCCATCTTGTGCATCCAGAAGTTCTTGGTTCACATAGTGTTGAAGCCTAGCTTGAAGGGTTTTGAGCATAATCTTGCTAGCATGTGAAATGCTAGCTTTGTTGTTAAAAGCTCACCCATGTCTACTTTCAAAGTTTTTCATATATTCCAGTGCTTCCCAAGACAGGGGCTACCATGGAAAGTGTGTGAAAGTCACTCAGTCATGTCTGACTCTTTGCAACCCCATGAACTATACAGTCCATGGAATTCTCCAGACCAGAATACTGGAGTGGGTAGACATTCCCTTCTCTAGGGGATCTTCCCAATCCAGGGATTGAACCCAGGTCTCCTGAGTTGCAGGCAGATTCTTTACCAGCTGAGCTACCAGGGAAGCCCTCATTTTACTTAAAAGTGAGCAGTTATGGAGGATCAAGGGCTCAGACTCTCCTCTAGCAGCTTCCTTTGCACTATTCCATTCTTGCATATGAACTGGGAACAATTTTGCTAGCAGAAATAATGAATGCAAAATAAAGTCTCATCCAGTTTGTCTCATAGCAGTCCTTTTCTTACCACAATTAGTAATCATATTTATTTGTTGGTTTGCTTCTGGATACCTGAGTATCCCAGGCTACTTTGTGCCATAGGAGAGGCAGAATTGTGTCTGGTTTATTAGACCAATGCTTGGCTTGAGTTGAAGGTCAGTGAATGAATGTTGAGATAAATGATAGAAACTGTATTTGAGCATGTGTCCTTAAGGTGGCTGTTTCTATCTGCTTAAATATTTTTTCTGGGTTAAGATTATTGAGGCCAATTTTAAGTGATACAGAATTGTTGGACTTTGGTCCATCTAACTGACTGTGTATTAGAATGGGCCACTTGAAGAGAATTTTGCCTTTCCCCAAAGGTGTTGCCTTGACTCATCCCTCAAGAGATGGAATTGCCCTTTTAGGTTTCTGCCCAGTTTAGAATCTCTGATTTTTGTAGGAGCTGTCAGTCCTACCCTTAGAGTTTCTGATTTCTTAGTGTAGATTGCAAGATAAAATGTATATTTTCTGTGTGCTTTTCAGTGGACATAATCTTGAATGCATTGCTAATTTAACACTTTTCAAGATTTTGATTAAGAAAATTAATATTTAAAGAAGTTCTCTGAAGGATACACCATCTATCTTCTGGAGTGAAGCTTGACTGTGGGTGTATATCAAAGTCAGCTGTAGAGGTTTTAATAGCTGTATTTAGTTAGAAGCTCTAAGGTGTGGGACCTGGGTCACAGGTGATTCTGATGTATAGCCAGGTATAAGAGCAATACATCCTATGGACGTTTCTACACAAGCAGTCATACCCCAAGGAAGCGTATGTCAAGAATGCTTTTTTATGTTTCCCATCAGTTACAGTTCTGGTTCTGTAGTTTAGATTCATTTATAAAGAAGTACTTTTAAATGTTTTAGTGGACATTTATGAACTCTTGGTAGTACTTTCCAGTTCCTCCACCTAGCAAAGTTGAGTGTTGTCTGCAAATTTAAGCTGTGAGATGGGGAGTAGTGAGAGATGTGGGTAGAGAGGTAGACTTTGAAAGGTCATGTATATGATGTGAGGCTGTTCTTTTTCCCTTTGGTAATGGAGAATCATTGGAGGTTTTTTAAAATCAGGAAGGCAACATGATTAGCTTTTATTTTGTTTTGAAGGAAAGTTACCTGTCAACTATATGGAGCATAGATTAGAATGAGGGAGAAAACTATGACAAGGAGACCAAAGCAAGTTTGTGCAGGAGGGAATGAGGAGCAGTAGGGATAAAACGGGACTGAATTCTAGTCCTGTTTCAGTTTAAGCTCCAACCAATCAGTTCTACCCTTGACTTCAAGACAGCTAAAATTGCAAAGACTTTACTGAGAAGCCTTTCCCTGACCAAATTCTCTTAATCTGTTCTTTTGGTAGTTTTTTTAATGTCGTATTTTATAGTACTTTACATTCTCTATTGTTCTGTTTTGCTTATTTGATTCCTGTGTCTTATTTATCTTACACTGATGCCACTTTTCATGATGGCTGCTTCTCTATAGAAATAGCTGTTGAACACGTTGTCCCTTAAACATGTCATTCTTGGTTTTTTCCCCTTCTGATTTGTGCCTTTGCTCACGGTCTTTCTCTTTTCCAAATGTTCTTATCTCTCTTATACACCCATATCTTAAAGTTTTAACGTTTTTTTTTCCCCCTCCCATAGTTCAAATCCCACCATTTCTATGAAGTCCTCTGCATGATTCTGCCATGGTCACTTCCACCTTTGGGCTCTGTAGTAGCTAAGCTGTGTACTCCTTTATGCTTCCTTATATTCCACTCCAGTACTCTTGCCTAGAGAATCCCATGGATGGAGGAGCCTGGTAGGCTGCAGTCCATGGGGTCGCTAAGAGTCGGACACGACTGAGCGACTTCACTTTCACTTTTCACTTTCATGCATTGGAGAAGGAAATGGCAACCCACTCCAGTGTTCTTGCCTGGAGAATCCCAGGGACAGAGGAGCCTGTTGGGCTGCCATCTATGGGGTCGCACAGAGTCAGACCCGACTGACATGACTTAGCAGCAGCAGCATATTTTTTCATCTTTTTATTTAGTCTGTGAATGTTGATATTCTGCCTTTTTGTGTTGGACAGGATATTTTACACATCACTGTACATAGCATATCATTAATAATGTGATGGTCATTTGCCGCATTCTAAGTCTTCCTAAAAGCAACTTGGCTAGAAACATAGTTTGTTCTACTCTAAAAAACCTGAGACCTCAGCTCAGAAATATTTTAAGTTGTCAGTAACTTTAATTATCTGAATTTGAAGCAAAAAATATATAATTATTTTTCTCTAGGATTTTAAAGGTCAAAATAAAAGAGAATTTAAAAAATTGGGGGCCTTATTGAAATATAAAGTTGAGTGTTAATATCTGACTGGATACAAAATCCTTTAAAGACTTACGTTTAAAATCCTTTAATTAAAGTAAAATATTTTCATTTGTTCCTTAATGTTAAAAAGTATGTTCTTTGCCAAAACAAAGCTTTATTTTCTTGGGAATCACTCAGAACATTTGGACCTCCTTTGGTTTGTAATCCTGTTAAATTTCATCCATGAATTAAAGCCTAATTATACATAGTTGGTATACCCTACATAGAGACAATTCCATGTATAATAGTTTACTCATTAAGTTTGAAAATACTTTGCATTGGATTAAGAAATAATTTTCTTTGAGAATTAACTGAATTTAATTGTCTATATATTTTTCTTTAGCCCATATGTTGTAAAGTACTATGGCAGTTACTTTAAGAACACAGACCTCTGGATTGTCATGGAGTACTGTGGAGCTGGCTCTGTCTCAGACATAATTAGATTACGAAACAAGACAGTAAGTATTTTAAAATTGTTTTGCCAATCTCATTTCTAAAGATTCATATTTTAGAAGCTGACTATATAGTGTTTTGTTACAAGGAAAATATTAGTGTGAAAAAAGAAAAGGCTTTACAGTGTAAAAGAATCTAGTATGAGGTGTGAGAATTAGTCACAGATCTTTGTGTGGCAAATAGAGGAGTCATATGATTGTTTAATTTATTTATTAGGATAATTTTTGGTTTAGTCACCGAGAAACCACCATGGCACTCCTCTTCTTCATTTGGAATCATTGTTGCATGTTCTTTATTAACTTGAGTTCAGTAAGTTATGGCTAGAATTTTATTTCATAATATTTATGGTATTTCTTTATCATAAGTTTTTTTGCATTATAACCTATGGTTGGTAAACAGTTGAAGTATTATGTTTCTGAATCTTAAAGATAGCTGAAGAACAATTTTTGTCTTATTTCCCCAAATATCTCAGGATGTTTGAAATGAATAGAGCTCAATTATAATTTTTTTTTCTGGTAAATTCAGCTTAGTGAGAATGTGTTATTTAATGATAAATTTTATGGCTGTGTTTTAACCCTAAGTAAAAGAGCTATTTACAAAATTGTTTACTTTAGCCTAGCAATGCACCTAGTTAACTTGGATAATTTACAAGACCAAAATGACCTTTTTAAAATCTGTGAATGACTAAGAATAATAAATCAGTGAAATAATTTGTAATTCTGTAAAACAATATCCCAGTTACTACATGTCATTATTACATGTTGTCAGACATGTTTCAGTAAAATACATTCGGAAAAATACTTAACTACTTGAGTCAATTTGTGGTTAACCAGAATCATTTTAAAGTTTGATTGGGGAAGTACACTGTAAGTTTATCCTACTAATTTTTTTTTTCTGTTAGAGAAAATAAAGTAAATAGGATTTCTTTTAAAGGAAGTGAAATAGAAGTTAAAATAAGCCCTGTTTTGACAGAATGGATTAAGTGATTTGTGACATTTTAATTACATATTTTAGAATTTCTACGGTGCTTAACTAACATTTATGTAAATCAGATGACTCCTGAGTGGCAGGACAATGCTTTAATTGAAAATAATTATACTCCAGTTAGAGAAGTGTTTTAAAACCATTTCAGGGCTAAACTCAGTGCGTTTGGTATTTAAAGTTACCAAGTAGAAATACGGAGTAATACTGTATGTAGTGGAAAATCTATTTTATTTATTTTAAATGTTAATGTTACCATTTTGAGTACATAGGAAGAATACAATCTTCTATGTATTCTAAGTATACAAAAATACTTTATTTCTTGTGGTTAATAAATAAAAACCATGAAGGTATACTATAGTTCTAAAAGGTAGATTTGGATGAGATAATTATTCTCAGGTATGTCCTTCACCAATTATCAAAGGAAGGATTTTACCCTATTTGCGCTTTTTTTTAGAAGGCAGATTCCACCTATCATGTTTGGAGATCATACATTTGAAATAGTCTAATTATTATTCTCACAAGTTGGTTTTCCTTGGGCCTGGAGAGGTATGGAAGGATCTGATTCCCAAATACAAAAAAGAATCCAGAACTGCATGAGATGGCTCAGGTGCTGTACATATATTTTTTCTGGAAATTGCCTTGATAGCAGCTCCTGTTAAATCTCAAAAATATTCTATACTACTTATGCTACTTTTCCTTCATTTATGTATTATTTAAAAAGAGTACCATTGTTATGAAGGTTGGCAGTATAGGGGGATAGTTATCATCCTATTTAATATTTGATTATTTTTTAGGAATGTTCACTGGAATGATAATCTTGATTGTTTGAATTTCAGAGGAGGCATGACTTTCAAAAAAGGTGACCAGTGAAACAGTTGTCCTTGACCTGTTAACACTCACTCTAGTAGTTAATTGTTTTCATGGTCACAGAACAATCTGTCTTTTCCTAACAGTATGGAAATTTTTCTTTTAGGCTTTATATGCTGTTTTGGTTTTTGTTACGTGCTTTGTTGTTTCTTGTAATTCTGTGTACATTTTAAACAGCACAAGGCTGTTTAAATAATAATTCTTATTATTATTTTTGATGGTGTTTATATTTATACTTTTTTTGCTCTTTATTCTTTTTTTGCATTTCTCAGTTGCCTGAACAGTGTTCTTTAGTGTTTCCTTACGATGTTAATAAAATCGCCCTTGGTTTTTTTTTCTTGTATGAAAATGTTATCTCACTTTACTTTTGAATGATACATTTGCTAGGTAAAGAATTCTAGGTTTGCAATTTCTTTTACATTTTTAATGTATTTTAAGAGGACTGACTCTTGGAAAACCACCTAAGTAACACCGTTTTTGTAGAATTATTCTTGTCTTTGAGAGAAATCTTATTAGGGGTGAACTGTTCCTGATTTTCAGTTCTATTGCTATCTTTTGTGTGTGTGTGTGTATGTTGAAGTATAGCTGATTAACAATGTTGTGATAGTTTCAGGTGAACAGGGACAGGATTCAGCCATTTTCCCCCTAGCCCTCCTTCCCTGCAAGCTACCACATAACACTGAGCACACTTCTCTGTGCTACATAGTAGATCTTGTTTATCCATTTTAAATATAGCAATATGTGCATGCCCATTCCAAACTCCCCAGCTGTCCCTTTCCCAGTCCTTCCCCCACCAGCAACCATAAACTTGCTCTCAAAGTCTGTGAGTCTGTTTCTGTTTTGCTAGTAAGTTCATTTGTATTTCTTTTTATATTCCACATATAAGAGATGTCATAGGTGCTGTTGGTTTTTTGATCAAATATTTATGTAAAAATTAAAGACAGAGAAAAACCTGATTAAGTTACATACCTTTAAAAAAAGTTAATAAGTTTTTAGCCTGAAGTATAAAACTGTTTATATATTACCTCCCTCCTATCTGTGCAGTTTCATAACTTGTCACGTCAGCTTCACAGTAAGAATGGGTTCCTAGAATAAAGGAATGGGTTCGTGTTTTAGTGTTTTGGTATATGCTTTTGCCTCATCTGCTCCCCCACCTTTGAGTGTTTTTCCTTACCCCTAGTCTTTGCCTAGTGAGTTTGCATACGTGAAGGACTTGCTCAGTTATCACCTCTTCTTTGAAACTTTCCCTTTTTTTCCCAGGTAGTTTTATCTATTTGGTAATTGGTTGATTAATGAATTAGCTAAGTATTTATTGCATATTCACTATTACATAAGAGCACAATAAATTCTATCAACCATTAATTTAGGATTTTTACTGTTATTATCTTATATATTTTGACTGCTGGATAGACTAAGCATCTTGTTGTTTGTGTATTGGCTCTTTTACTTATTTTTAGTGCTTATCCTTTGCATTTTATTATTATTGTTGGTAATGGTGTTTTTCTTAAATTTGCAGGCTTGCTTGACAGTTTGCTAATAGTTTTATGAGTATTTCACATATCATTTTAAAAGTAAAAAAACCAGTTATCTGATTGTCAGCATAGATATTAAAGAAAGAATTTGAAAATCTTTTAGAAATTTAACTTCTAAAATCTATTTTAGAGGTTTTATGCCCTGACATTTTCTTTGGGAGATACCTAGGAAAAGATAAAAGCATAGAATTAAATTTGAGGGTTAATTAGAACTCTCAGTGATTGGAACTGAGCCTGAGTGGCAAGAGTTTTGGGATTGGATTGTTGGTAGTTGAGCCAATAACAAATGGTAGTTCGGGAAATGGTGGTAGTACTAGAGGGAGAATGAAGGGGAAACTTCATTCAGTGGGTGATAAAAGTTTGAGTCTTCTAGTTGCATTTAGAGTAGAAATCACTATTTGTTTAGTCTTTATTGAATCTTTTGGTTTATAAGTTAATGCCATATATAAATTAATCTATAATAAGTATATGTGAGTTAAACTCCTGATTCTGTGATCAAACCCACAGCATACAACTATCATGTATCTTTAATAACTGACTTTTTAAAAAAATAATATTTAAAACTAGAATTTGGTGAAACCTATGTGTAGATAACGTTGCTGTGGCTATCCTGTACTTGGAAATCACATTTAATTATTAGTCAGCTTTTAGTCTTTAGGAGAAAAGTTTTAGCAGTTGCTTTCCCCTACTATAAACCTCTCAAGGGCAGAAATTTTTATATGTTCATTTTGAAACTATTACAAGTGTCTAGAATAGCTACTGGCATCTAGCAACCTTGATAAATGTTTGTTGAACTGAAATAGGAACAATTCCTTGACTGCTTCTTCTGTGAATATAAACAATCTAACTCATCTATTTAGTGTTGTATTTTTGCAGGTAAATTGTAATTTTCATAGCTACTACTATTCAATATTAATGATGTGGGTTATTGAACAGATATGATCATATACCAAAGAAAGTATATGTGCTTATCAGTAACCTATGAAAGTGTGAAATAACAGGATCTGTTGTATTAGTTCCCTGATTTTTATAGAAGTTATATTTATGTAAATTAAATTTTTTGCTTATTTTTGCAAATGTATATCCTGATAACTCAAACCATAGGCCTCATTTAGCTGATGAAAAAGAAATCTGCCTTATGTTGTTATTACTGGAAGTTAATGTAATCATTGCGGTTTTTTTTTTTTTGAGTGTTTTCAAGTTTGAAAAGAATAAAAAGTCCAGTAATTATGGGAATAAATGCATAAAATATTTATGGCAAGAATTTTGAAGGTTTTCTTATGAGGACATTTTAAAAACGAATGTATTTTATGTTAAATGCATTTAGCCTCTGAACGTTTATGCATTTCAAGTATTTATGCATTTATGCAAAGTAAAAATAGACAATTCTGTGAAATTGAAGCTTTTTAAAGATAGATTATATATTTGATTAGAGGCTTTCAAAATGATCTTTACATAATTGTTAAGCTATGCCTTGACATATGGAAGAAATAGAGTCTACGTCTTAGATGTTTGTTGTGTGTTTGGAAATGTTCTAAGAAAATGCCTAAGGTTGGTGTCTCCCACTCTGACTCAGTTTTTCATTTGGCCACTTATTTTAATTCAACCTAGCACTGTGGATT